ATGATGTTACTACTAAATTCCTGTTTAAATGGACCAGATATATCCTAGAATTGGCCCACTGCTTTGCTACAGGATTTAACAAAATTTTATTATAGTATTACCAGGAATGTAATAAATTTACTGATTGTAGAGCATGCCATTCATGGTTTTCTTAAGCAGGGGCTGGCCAGAACTGGGGCCCATAGGCCAAATACTGCCCACTCCCTGTTTGTGTAAGTGAAGTTTTACTGGAACACAACCACACTCATTTGTGTCCATATTATCTGTGGCTGCTTTCAAGCTACAATGGCAGAGTATAATAGTTGTAACAGAGACTGTATGCCTACGAACCCTAAAAGAGTTACTATCTGGCTTTTCTACAGAAAAAGTTTGCTAACCCTCATTCTGAACAATTTTCAGTTAATCATACTTGATCAAATTATACCTCATAAACGTCCTTAACACATGATTAAGTGACCACAAGAATGTGGCTTCTCCTGCATGGCCTTTCTTCTCAATCTGCAAGAGAAGAAATTTGTCTAGGTGGTTTCCAACGTAAGCATCAGTCAATACTCTGACTCTCAGCCAATGAGTAATTTCCTTCATGAGGTTTTTGGAGAGGCTTTTTTTTTGAGTTTTTATGATTTTGTTTTATATTTAAAGACACATTTCTCTTTTTTTAACTGAAGTATAGTTGACACACAATGTTACCTTAGTTTCAGGTGTACAACATAGTGCTTTCACAAGTTTATATATTACGCTATGTTCACCACAAGTGTAGCTCCCATCTACAATACAACGCTATTACAATACCATCGACTATATTTCCTGTGCTGTACCTTTCAGCCCAGCGACTTATTCAGTCCATTACTGAAAGCTTGTATTTCCCATTCCCCTCATCACTCATTTTGCCCATTCTCTACCGCCCCCTCCTGGGGCAACCATCAGTTCGTTTCCATCATGAGATTTGATTACTTCTGAATAGTTCAGACATCGGCATCTCTTAAGAGATTGGAGAAGCATTGGCAAGGCCCATCAGGGGACTCAAATTCCAGCCTCCTCTTTGCCCCTAATTGGCTAAACCTCTCGTTGCTTTACTTCTGTAAAATGAGGAGGCTGGACAGATGAGGATGGAGTTTCCTTAAAGCAGATAATTATAGTCCAGAGTGTGAAGTGCATCCTAGAACGCCACACTGGCTGCTATGAAAGCCCAAGGAATGGTATCACACCGGGATTCACAGAGAAGGGACTCAGAGAAGGCTTCTTGGAGGAAGTGATTCTGATCTGAGTTTTGAAGAATAGGGAAGAATTCATGCTGCTGGAGAATGAACTGACCAATAAAGCAAAAATGCATCTTATGGAAGCCATCATGTTATTTGGCTAATTAGGAAATGTCATCTGTTTAAACATCTAAACCCCAGGAAAGATCTAAATTCAAACCGACCCTAATGTGTGCATTACACTGTGCTTCTGGATTCACATCATGAAAAAGTCACTCTGCAAGCAACTTTTCACAATATAATCCTCCTTTTCTGTGAAAAGAGGTTTCTTTTCCTTCTTCAGCTTAATACCAAGGTCACATCCAAGTCTTGAAAAAGACATCAACTGCCACACAGGGTGGTGTGATGATCATTGCATAGGACACAAAGCCTTCTTGGGAAAATGAGGATCAATCAGAGAGTGTGAGCAAAGGATCATTCCAGGGCCGTAGGCAAGGTCAACAAGAGATAACTCTGACTTCAAACAACTTTGGCAATGTGGTTAGACAACGTGCTTACACAGCAATCATTCCCATTTGGCTAGACCATCCGAACATTCACAACAATAGATTCTGAAGGGAGGAGAATTATCTCAGTTGACCTAGCCATGCAATCTCAGCAGTGATTTCTAAGTAATCACTGGCTCTCCCACAATCCAACCGTTTGTACCAATGTCAGAGGCAGAATTCGTTCATGTATTCAACAAATTTAGTGAGTTACCAACTATGCACCAGCACTTTTCTATACACTATGGACACAGCCATGAAGAGAGGAGACAAAAATCCTTGCCCTTGTGGAACTTAAATTCTTTGTACGGAGAAAAGCACAGAGTTTTAACTACTATCCAATAGGACATATTGCTGTTCTGAACAGTCCTGAAGGGACATTTTCCAAGAGTCTAAGCCACACCTGAGCCAGCCTTCCTCCTGATCCCTTGTCCCTTCATCTTAGTCTCTGTGTCACAAGCAATTTACTGTGGAAGGTGAGGTCAAGGCAGCCTGATGCTTTTTTCTTAATGTACCCTCATTATCAAGCCACATGACTCCTAAAGCCTCGAAACAAAAATGTTCACAGGCTTTGAACCTCTTCTGGGAATCTTGACTGAGAAAACACACCTAACTTCTGAAGAGATTTTAGATTGCAAAAATGTGCATCACCACTTTAACCTAGCTTCCCCCCCGCCTGCAAAATAAGGGGGTAAATTAAACGTCCAACTCTAAATTAATGGATAAATTATTGTTTTTACATGAGATGAAATCCCATGCAGCCATTAAGATTATATTTACAGAGACTCCATGATAATGTAGGAAAACACTTATTATAAAATGTTAGGTAATCAAGCAGAACAAAGCTATATATATTCAATATAACAAGCCTGTGTAAAAAACTACTAAGAAAAATAAAAGCCTTGATGGAAATGTTCCAAAACATTAACCACTGATATACTTAGGTGTTAAAATTATGGGTGTTTTTCTACTTTTGTATTTTCCTATTTTTCTTTAGTCAACATTTATTATTTTCAGAATTAAAAAATAATAATTTTAAGCCTAAATATAGTTTTTAAAAGGCAAGGACAAGGTGGCAAGAACAAGTATAAAACAGTTTATCATGGTAGCTAAGAGCCTGAGATCTGAATTCAGAACCCTGGGTCTGAACCACGGCTCCCCAGGTTACTCTGTGACCTTGGGCAGATTATTTAACGTTTCTTCCCCCTAGTTTCTCACCTGCGAAATGGGGGTAAAAATAGTGCCTATGAGAATTAGTAGATAATTCATGAAGAGTGTTGAGCACCTCATAAGCCCTCAAAATAACAGATCCAATACTCCAGTGGCCTCAAAAAAAGAGTTCACACAAGAGGGGAAGGTGGGATATCTTCACATCTCAGGAACAGCTAACTCAGAACTGTGTTTTCAGTGGGCAATTTTCCCTCACTCAGCATCAATCCCCAAATCCTTGACTTTTAAATTTTCCCCTGAAGATGGACAGTATGTTGATACTCATTTTATGGGTAATTATTTCCTTGGGTGTTTTTTTTTTTTTTAATGTACTGGTCATCATTTACTGTGCACAGTGACTTTAATTTTAAAAACAAGTCTGAAAATTATGTTAACAGGACCATCGGAAAATACTACACGTTACTTTAAGATGAAATGACCTCATAAAAATACTGTTTATGGTCTGACAGTTGTTAATTTGAAGATAAAAGTAACTGTCTGATAGAATCATATTTTTTGTCAAATGTTGGTTCCAAAAACAGTGAAATGAAAAGCTAGCCTCTTAACTCCTGCACCCAACATTTTTTTTCTGTACAAATTAAACCACTTAAATCTGGGTAAGATCATGTGGTCGTTAATTAAGCCTGCACCTTGTCCACAACAGACTTTTAGTAAATATTTGCAGAAAGGACACCCATTTCTGAAATTTTAGTTCTTATTGCTTGCCAATACTCATCTTTTTAAAAGAATGAGAATTCAGTTCAGATTGCATAAATATGAAATCTTAACCAATAAAGAAGATCCAGAGGATTCGACAGATTAAAATTTGTTTCTCTACAAATGAAATGAGGCATCCTTATGAAAAAGAATTGTGCCTTTCAGCTTCCAGCATTCTTTTCCCTAATTTCCAATCTAGATTTCCTTGATCTTTTGACCCTAGGAATTCTCTACTCAAAATAAGGCTGCGCTTCTGTCCGTTCTTGACTTGGTTTGGCAACTTTCCTCTGTCACAGACTCTCCTTGCATGGGGTTTCTGCCCGCTGAACGCGGTGAAAACGCCCTGAACCGTGGTGTTCCACGGGCTTAGATTTGAATCTGGCTGGGCACTAGCTGCATCACCTTCCGTTAGTCACTGACCCTCACTCAGCCTCGGTTTCTTTGTCTATAAAGCGGGCATCATAAACACAGATCTCACAAGGTTACAGTGGGGCTCCTAGAGACAACTGACTGGGCACGACTAGCAACTCACTCAGGTGCTCTTCCCCTCCCCTGGGAGTCTTTTTTGAGGGTCTTCAGTCATTGTCCGAAAGCCTTTGATTTCTTTTCAGGCTGTCCTTAGACCAGAAGGCAAAGCTGTCCTGAACTTGGGACTCTTCATTTAGAAGAGCATTTGAGCTCTACATTAACTTCGATTCCGTCACGCTTCCGTCCCAGGGAACGGGACAGGTAGAGGAGCGGGTGGCGAGCGCCGCCCCCTTTGCGGGGAAGGGTGCTGAGAAGTGGGGTTCTCGCTCAGGCCAGAGGGTCCCCATCCCGTTGTCTCTCCCACGGGGAAGTCCGGCTCCGGTTCTGCCCACCTCCCTCCGACCCGCAAAGATTAAGTTATGGGCCCCTCTGAGCCGGGGGTCCTTCGGGAGATGCCCACACGTAGACTCTCTGCGGATCCCAGAACCAGCGTGCCCCCGCCCTGCAAGGGAAAGGAGAAGGGAGGTGGAAAGGGAGAGGGGGGCGAGCCGCCACAGGTGAGGCGGCCCGCGTGCAGTTGCGGAGGGAACCTTGCCGGCTCGCCTCCCTCCCGCTCGCCTCCTTCCCCGCAGCAGCCAGAGGATTTGGAGCCGGCGGGAGAGGCGCGCGGGGCAGGGAAAGTGCCGGGGGCGTCTGCCCCGCGACGGCTTCTCGCCTTGGCCGGCGTGCGGCCCGAAGCCGGGCCCCGCCGGGGGCTCCCCTCGAGCACTGCTCCGCGCTCCGCTCGGCGTTCCCAAGTGCGCCGCGTTCCTGGACGCCGGGAGCCTGGCGGGGCGCCGCGCCCGCAGCGGGCAAACGCTACCTGTGGAAGTAATGTGCGCAGAAGAGGCCCAGGAGCACCGTCGCGGGCTGGCCGAAGAGCAAGCGCGGCTGCCGGGCGAGGATCCCCGCGGGCACCGCGAAGGAGGGCAGCTCCTGCAGGAACCAGGCGGCGCGCGCGGGCAGGCGGGTGGCGGCGGGCATCAGGCTCTCCGAGTACTTCCCGTAGCCGGAGGGCTTCGCGAGGTACAGGACCAGTGCCCCCAGAGCGGCCAAAGTGGCGCTGCCTGCCAGCACCGGGCTCTGCTGGCAGTGAACGGACATCGCGCCGTGTTCCCCGCCGGTGGCCGCCGCTCGCGCAGAAGAGAGCGCGGTCTCCACGGCCCCTTTATGGGGCGCGAGACGCCACCCTGCGTCCGCCCCTTCGGCCTTGGCTCCCGCCCTTCCGTCCTGCTTTCGGCTCGGCGTGGCCAGCCCTGGCTTGGCTCAGCATCAATGCCCCTTTCGCCCGGCTGGCGCTTGGGGTGGCAGCCGGGGCGGAGGGGAGGACCCAGGGGCCAAAAACGTGTCCTGCCCGCCCCCCCTCCCCGCCCCGCCCCGCCTGGGGCTAGGCCACATCTGCGCCTCCGCCCGCGCGCCCATCCTCTCCACCGCCTGCCACTGGTCTTCCCTTTGCCCTTCGAAGACCTGTTCCTCACCGTGCATCGCCCTCTGATGCTGCAGCTTCTAGGACTAGGAAATCGGAAGAGAAAAACCACGGGGACGATTTAGCCGGGGTAGTTCTCTCGCCCCCAACACACCCCTGGGCCGCCGCCACGCAGCCTCCACCCTCAGACCACCCCAAGCCTGGATCTCCCCAGTCCCTCCGCTTCCCTACGCTCCTTCACTCCGCGTCTGCTCCCACCCTGTCCTGCATCCTTCTTACGACCTTGGGCCGGGCATCCAAGGCACTTCCCGCGCCCTCCGGCCCTTCTGCTTGGGGGCTCGGTGCGCCTTCTCCCTCTCAGCCAGTGCCCCCTCTACCCCACCACGTCCCCAGGGCCCTCATTCCTCCGCCGTTTCTCTCTGCTTTGCTGGCTGCGCCCCTGGGTCTCCGGCCTCTGTCAAAGAGGCGCATCCCCAACGCGCGGACGCACCAGCAAGGGTGGCGGCCGGGAGCGGTGATCCCGTCCGAGGCCTTGCCTCTCCTCCACCACCGGCCCCCCGGAGCCGGCCCGGACTCCCGCTAAAGTCTACGGTTTCTGCCGCGGGACCCCTCTCCCTACTCTTTGAGCGGATGAGTCGGGTTCCACGTGGTGGTGGTGGTACTGGAGATGCTACCGTGCTCTGAACAGCTAGACGTGGTTCTTCCTTCTATTTTCCACCCTCCTCTCATCCTTCACCCGCTCGTTCATTACCTATTTCTTCTTGCCTTCTCTGACTGAGTGTCCAGACTTCCTTAGCTGCCCTCCTCCGAAGTTGTGTGCCCCTTTTAATCTCTTCGTCTTTCTTTGACCTGGCTTCCTCCTCCAGGTTGACCTTCTCTACCCTAGTGCTGCCTACATCAGTCTTCCATCTTCATGTCCCACCTCGAATAGGGATTACTTTATCCCTATTAATTTTCTTCTCTGGTCCCTACTTCAGGCTCCACCCCAGCCTTCCCCCGCACCTTTCCTTGGCTCTTTCTTCCTCCTCTCTCTTAGTGCCAACTCACTGCCTCAGGAGCCCCTCTCAGTTTCCCCCCATCCACTCATGCTCTGTCCTACGGGCTGTTCCAATGAAAGGCACATTGTCCCATCTGCCCAGTTTGAGGCTGTTTCTTTATACCTGGGATGCTTTCCAGATTTGATGAGAACCCCATCTTATAGATCTAAGAACCTTGGTAAACCCTAAGCAAGATGAACACACACCCCCAGCACACTCAGCAATCGACTTGCTGAGAACCAGTGATAAGGAGGAAAATCTTTAAAGCAGCCAGAAAAAAGAAAGAAGGAAAAAAAGACCTAGGTGATAGGGACAAAGGTAATAAGTACAACAGATTTCTCAGACGCTATGCAAGCCAGAAGAAAATGGGATGGTACATGTGAAGTGCTGAAAGAAAAAAATTTTCAACCAAGAATTTCACATCTAGGGCCCCTGGGTGGCTCAGTCGGTTAAGAGGCTGCCTTCAGCTCAGATCATGACCCCAGAGTCCTGGGATCGGGCCCCAGATCGGGCTCCCTGCTGGGAGGGGAGCCTGCTTCTCCTTCTCCCTCTGCCTGCCCCTCCCCCTGCTTGTACTCTCTCTCTCTCTCTCTCTCTCTCTCGCATGTGCTCTCTCTCTCAAATAAATAAAATCTTCTTTTAAAAAAATTTCACATCTAATGAAAATATCCTTCAAAAACGAAGGTGAGGAGATTGGTTTCCAGACATAATGGACTAAGATTCTGACAGACAGACACACACACAAGCAGAAAGCGATGACAAAACCTGGGAAGAAAATCTATCTGAAGTTACTAGAGAATGAACAGGAGCAAACAGTTACTGATGGGGAAATGGCCTTCACATAGCAGGAGGACATGGAAAGCTGTAGGCATAAGCACTCCTTTTCTGAGACTTTCAGCCTGGACAAGTGCAGTCCGAATAATGCACATAGCAGCAGAGACACATGTGAAAAATAAAACTTACCATAGTCCTGAAAAGGAAAGAGCCAGAGAGGGAATTCCTAAACTCTGTCTACCCACAACTCTGGATGACTCCTGAACAGCACATTATAGGAGACTTAAAGCAAGTCAGCTCAGACAAAGTTCTGAACAGACACAAGAAACAAAGTTTGAAGTTCAATCCCAGCCAAGAAAATTGCCAGCTAAAACAAATAATATTCATAAGAGGAAAAGAATATAACCCATAATCTCTCCTACTTAGCATGCATAATGTCTGAAATTACCTGACACAGGAAAAATCAATTCAATGAAACACATTCTCAAGAGAAACAAAAATCAATCAAGTCCAATACTAAGATGAACCAAACTTAGAATTAGCAGACGAGGATTTTAAAGTAACTATTGTAATTGCAATAGTTTGCTAGGGCTGCTATAACAAGTATCACAAACTTGATGGCTTAAACAACAGAAGTTTATTGCCACTCAGTGCTGGAGGCTAGAAGTCCAAGATCAAGGTGTCAGCAAGGTTAGTTCTTCTGAGGGCAGTGGGGGATAATCTGTTCCATGACTCTCCTCTAGTTTCTGGTAATTTGCTGGAAATCTTTGGCATTCCTTGGCATGTAGAAGCTTCATCTTCACATAGCCTTCTCCCTTGTGTATGTATCTGTGTCCAAATTTCTCCTTTTAATAAGGATACCAGTCATATTGGATTAAGAGCCCACCCTACTCCAGTATAATCTCATTTTAACTAATTATATCTCCCATGATCCTTTTTCCAAATAGGATCACATTCTTAAGTGCTTGGAGTTAGAACTTCAACATAGAAGTTTTGCGAGAGAGGGTCACCAGGGTGACTCAGTCGGTTAAGCGTCGTACTCTTGGTTTTGACTCAGGTCGTGATCTCTGGGTTGTGGGATCAAGCCCCACATTAGGCTCTGTACAGAGTGTGGAGCCTGTTTAGGATTCTCTCTCTCCCTCTTCCTCTGCACCCCCCCCCAATTCGTGCTCTCTCTCTCTCAAAAAAAAAAAAAATATATGGAGGGAGACACAACTTAACCAATAGCAATAATTAACCTCAGTAAAGTATAAAACAAAACATGCTTTCAGTACATGAAATCACAGTATAGAAATGGGAAATGATGAGAAATTGAAATGAGTTTTTAAAGATGGAAATTCTAATAATACACTATATGTTAATTGATTTTAAATAAAATAAAGTAAAATAAAATAAAGATGGAAATTCTAGAACCAAAAAATACAATTTATGAAATAAAAAAATTATGGGATAGACATACAGCTGAACAAAGAAGATGGAAGGAAGAATAAGTGAACTTGAAGAGAGATTATTTGATAAAAGGCAGAAATTTACAAATTCAAATTATTCAATGAGAAATAAGCAGATAAACAAAAAAGCCCATACTGAGGCAAAGCAAATCATATTTAAGTTATTAAAGGTCAAAGATAAAGAATGAATCTTAAAAGTAATAGAAATCTTAGAAAAGATTAAAAGAAATAGAATCTTAAAAAAATAGAAAAACAACATATACAGGAGGACAACAATCTGATTAACAGCTAACTTCTTATCAGAAACATGTAAATCAGAAGAGAGTGGAACATCTTTAAAATTCTGAAAGAAAAAAATCTCTGCCCAGAATTCTACCTATATCCAAAAAGTATTATTCAATAATGAAGGTGAAATATGGATATTATCAGATAAACAAAAACTATGAGCATTCATAACTTCAGTATAATAAATGGTAAAGTCCTTGTGGCTGAAGGGAAAAGATAACTGATAAAAACATAAAGGATGGTGAGATATGAGTTTATAAGTTTGCAAGATTTCTATTTTTTTTAAATGAAGTACTACATTGCAACTATAATTATACTGTGACAGTTGTGAATGAAGGTTGAAATCCATAGGGCAATCCTATAAAAAATTTAATAAAGAATAACTACTATATAGGGGCGCCTAGGTGGCTCAGTTGTTAAGCATCTGCCTTTGGCTCAGGTCATGATCCCAGGGTCCTGGGATCAAGCCCCACATTGGGCTCCCTGCTTGGCAGGAAGCCTGCTTCTCCCTCTCCCACTCCCCCTGCTTGTGTTCCTTCTCTCGCTGTGTCTCTCTCTGTCAAATAAATAAATAAAATCTTTTTTTAAAGCTATTTTTTTAAAAAAGAATAACTACAATGTATAAGGTTGAATGTTAACTAGTTTATTGTGGTGATCATTTCACAATACATACAAACATTGAATCATTATGTTGTACTCCCAAAACTAATATAATGTTATATGTAAATTATACCTCAATTTAAAAAAAGAATAACTACAAATTCAATAGTAAAATTAAAATAAGAATATAAAAAGATAATCAAATAATCAGAAGGAGGGGACAGGAAGAGAATAACAAAAACAAAACAAAGAAGAGCTAAATGGTTGTAACAGCTTGGAAAGGAAGAAGTGAAACTATATCTTCATAAATGACATGATCTTATATGTAAAACTCTAAGGAATCTACTAAAAAGCTTTTAGCACAAATAAGCGAGCGCACCAAGGTTACAAGATACAGGATCAATATACAAATATCAACTGAAACTAGCAATAAGAATCTGAAATGAAATTATAAAAACAATCAATTTACAATAGCACCAAAAAACCCAAAATACTTAGGGAAAACAAAGGAATGAGACAAAAAAAGGAATGGGACTTAAACACTAAAAACTAGGGGTGTCTGGGTGGCTCGGCC